TGGCCAAAGCGGGCAGAAGGGACTTCAAAGCTCACTACCATCTTCCGGAATTGTAAAGCACAACGTGGTCAGAGCATGCCAAAAACAACATGATGTAAATGGAATAGGGGAAGGCGCCGGAAGTTGCATTGGCAGAATATTTGGGAAATGTTATGGGAAATGTGAAGGTTCAGGCAAAAGGGTCGGAAAGATGAGACAACAGTATGGGTATAAAAGCATTCAAGTGGTCAGAAATCGGGGAATTAACGGATGTCTTATCGGGGAAATGATTGGGAAATATCGTGGGAAAGGTAAAGCTCAAACAAAAGGTCAGAAAAGTAAAACAACAGCAGGGGTGTAAAACACTTAGATCGCTGGATGTCGGGAAATTTAAAAGTTGGTCAGAAAGTCAAGCGGTTCAGAAACAGCATGTGGAAGTCAGTCAACACAAAGCATTGCAGGGGAAGGATTTTTCAGCAAAAATGCCATTAACTAACCACCATTTTAAACTAACAAAATTTTCTTTGATTGTAACAGGGGCAGAAAGTTAGTCATTGAAAAAGGGAATGGCAAAGTGCGGTTTGATTGAATACAAGATAATCTTGAAGTGCATAAGGGGAATCGAATTGGATCACAAAGTTGGCATTATTAAAACAAGTGTAAGTTGTCAGGACCTTCCTGGATAATAGGATGTAGTTCAGATACCCGAAAGTCAGGAGTCCGCCTGGAAAATAGAGACATGCATTTTTTAAATTTTTAGCAGTCAGGAGTCCGCCTGGAGAACAGAGACATGCATTTTGTTAATTTTAGGAGTCAGGAGTCCGCCTGGAGAACAGAGACGTACTTTTCAAGTTTGAAATCAGGAGTCCGCCTGGAAAACAGAGATAGACTTGTTAATTTTTGGCAATCAGGAGTCCGCCTGGAGAACAGAGACATACTTTTCAAGTTCGAAGTCAGGATGTCCTCCTGGAAAACAGAGACATACAATTTAATTTTAGCAATCAGGAGTTCGCCTGGAAAACAGAGACATACAATTTAATTTTAGCAATTAGGAGTCCGCCTGGAGAACAGAGACATGTATTCTTAAAATTTAGCAATCAGGAGTTCGCCTGAAGAATGGAGACATACAGTTTTAACTTTAGCAATCAGGAGTCCGCCTGAAGAATGGAGACATACAGTTTAAATTTAGTAATCAGGAGTCCGCCTGGAGAACGGAGGCACACAGTTCAAGTTTTGGGAAGTCAGGAGTCCGCCTGGAGAACGGAGACACGTATTTTGAATTTCAGTAGTCAGGAGCCCGCCTGGATAATAGAGGAGTAGTTTCAATTTTAAGTTCGGAAGTCAGGAGCCCGCCTGGATAATAGAGGAGTAGTTTCAATTTTAAGTTCGACAGTCAGGAGCCCGCCTGGATAACAGAGGAATACATTAGAGTTCAGGATTACTCAAGTTCAGCAGTTTGGAGAGAGAGAAGAACATCTCAGTTAACCAGTCGAAATAGCAACAGGGAATTTTTAGCGAGGCAACACAAGACAACAAGGCAACACAAAAGAACAAGGCAACAAGGAAGTGCAAGAGCAAGTGTGAAGAATTTAGATAGGATTTTTATAACTCATAGAGCATAGTTAGTATAGCTTCTTTTATCTTTGGCACGATGTAATAAGGGAGGTCAGCAACAGTAACAACAACAAGCACAACGCAATCACAGTTCCTGGTAGTCCCAGCTACCAGACACTCCCGAACTACACTGACCTGATTCCTGTTTAGCCCAGGATATGTAGGCAACCTCCGAAGCAGGATGCGGTCAAGCTTTTTAAAATGCTTCACACGGAATTTGCAAACGGGCAAAAATCGCTCGTATTTGCTCACTTGTCTTTGCCCGGAAACCTTTCGCGTTTCCGAGCAAAGAGTCGGTTGTGCTGATACTACACTCTGCACTGTGTGTAGATCCCGGAGCAACAACTTTTGGACTTTAGCTTGGGTGGCTGTCTTCAGTCCATACGGAGATCCAAGGTAGTCCTGCAGGCGTCCGCATGCCCTTGTGTAATTCAGAAACAGTGTTGCATTTATTTTTCGGACCTTGTTTGTAGAATTCTTAGACCGTCTGTGGAGTTGTGACACCAGTCTTGGGTAGTTTTTGATTAAGAAATCATGTTGGAATTATTTAAATGGTTTAATTATTTCTTCCGCTTGATTTAAATTTTCGATGTTTATAAACTGTTGATTCACATTTGCTAAAGAATTAAAATGGGAAAAAAATAATTTGTTCAAATGGTCGGCTTGTCTAGCTTTCACTAATAGGCACCATCACGACTCCCGAGGGTGGGAAATCCGGGTCGTGACACTAATACCGTAAGAATACAATGTATATGGATTATATCCAACTAGCTAAATATAGGGCTTGCCTCAACATGCTGAATTTGGGTTAAATGAAAAGTTCTTTTAGTTTTTTAATTTTTAATTTTAGGAAGTTCAAAATTGACTCCCATCTTAATTGGGGTTTTAGTGTACATGCATTACATTAATCATCCTTAATTGAATGAAGATGTTATATTGTTCCCTTCTATTCAATTTTAGGTATGTGAAGAAATTAAGATCAAAAGTCATTGCCTCAAAGTTGAAGTTGGACCACATTACCTTTGGCCTTACATGACTTAGACAGCTTCTAGCTAGAAGATTACATTATTTCTTCTTTCCAGCATTGCCAAAGAGAATTTACCAGTATATGTCTATTCTCTTTCTATATCTAAATTTTAGTTTTTAATATATATACATGTAAAGCTCAGTCTAGTTTTGTTACTTTTAATGCGACTTAATTAATTAAAAAGTAAAATACAAAATGGTAACATGATTACGTATATACAACTAATCATTTTAATAATCACTTTTTATTCCCGCTACAGTGAATCACGTCCCAAAACTATGTGACTAGCACCCGACACTTTAGCCATATCGAGCGAACTAGCAATATGATAAATTCGACATATGGACTTTAAATTTAAACATTTTTTGTTAGAGTTGTACGTAGATACTTGATTGTCCTGTTGATCGACAGGTTTGTATGGTGATATAATATTCTGTTTCAGTTCTTTCACATTTTTGGAGTAACATTTAACTTAAGATCAGAGCCGCATGTAGTAGCCAGCTTTTCTAAGGTTTGGACTATGGTGTACTATATTGTTGGATTAAAACGCTTGTGATCTAAGTACCATTTGTTATTTTTTTTAATCCCATATTAGACCTAAAGATGAGGACTACATAGGAAAATTCAGGATTTAAAGCTTATGAGTTTCTACATCGATTTCAAGTAAGTAAATTTACAATAATTACTAGGTTTATGGTCAAATCTTTATAGATATTTATTGAATTTTTAATATATAAATATAGTCTAAACAAAAGCTATTGGTTTCCTGTAAACCCGTATATCGTCGAACTCTAGATCTGCACTTAACTTGACAGTGTAAAATACACAAAATTTAAGTTCGTACTCATTATATTCTTGTTCTACAGAAAAATATACGTGCAATTTTAATTCACACACATTTGAGATTGACATTGTTTATGTAAAAAAAAATTAAGTTATATATACCGTCGTTATAAAATGATTTGTACTGACAATATATTTAACTTAAACTCGTTAAAGAAGCATAGGAGACAGGACGAAAAGAAGAAAGATACTTTCGATGGTGACATCCCACCAGCGCCTGCCTTTCCTTTTTCAGATCAACGTTTATTACCATATAATATGAATGTACATGATATATATACTGTTCGAAATTAGGGTTTCTAGATTGAATATAAGCATTTTATATAGTCTTGATCTAATATGCATAGGGTGCTAATCGTGTCTCTTATATATGATTTAAACAAGATGAAGCTTACAAAATAGAAAACACTATCCTTATTCAAAACCCTAATATTTACTAGCTAAGTAAAGCACAAAAGAACAGATAAATAAAGCCCCTTCCTTTATATTTCTTCTTTCTTCTTGCTTAACTTTCTTTCTTTTTCTGAAAACTCCCTTTGGGTATAGTGTGATATTCTCTACCATAAACTCCATCAAACTTTTACAAAAGAGAAGAAATATTGGAGCACTAACACTATGGCTTTCTCATCTATTCCCATCTATCTAGATCCTCCCAATTGGCAACATGAGGTAATAAGAATTTTGTTCATCTTTTTTCCCTTAGTATAGCTTCTTCATTAAGAAAGCTAGTAATTGGGAAAAAAAGATAAATATTCCCACTTTCTTTACCAATCTTTTACTATTTGAATATATACTATATAGTACTTCACATAGTAGTATTTGATTTCTTTTCTTGCAATTTTTGTAGCAAGGTAATCACCAACGACAACCTGGAGTTGCAAATGAGAGCCCCTCTCAACTTTCACCAGCCATGCTGCCACCTCCAGCAGTTGGAGGAGGAGGTGGCGGACCAGCTGGCTCAGTTAGGCCTGGCTCGATGGTAGAACGAGCCAGACTAACAAAAGTAACACAACCAGAGACGATCCTAAAATGTCCACGTTGTGAGTCTACGAATACAAAATTTTGTTACTTCAATAATTACAGCCTTTCTCAACCACGTCATTTCTGCAAGACTTGCCGGAGATATTGGACTAGAGGTGGTGCGCTGAGGAACGTCCCCGTCGGAGGTGGATGCCGGAGGAACAACAAGAGAGGAACAAAAAGAAGTAGATCAAAATCCCCCACTAGAAGTGAAAAAAGAAATTGTCCAATAATTACTTCAGCAAATGCCACAACCTCTACTAATAGTATCCCTCATTTGCCTCATCCAACACATTTGTCATTCTTGAGTACCACTAATTTACATAATTTTAGTGACTTCACATCTACTGAAAATAGCCTCAATTTTGGAGGATCTCAACCTCAAGATGGTACAAGAGATCAAATGGATGTCCAAGCCAGATTTATTGACCAATTTAGATTTCAACAAATGCAGCAATTTCCCTTTTTCTCCACCTTGGAACAACAACCTAGTAATAATTTATACCAATTTGAAGCAGCTGCTGAATACCATGTGGGAGAAGTGGCAAATGTGAAGGTGGAAGTAAATAAAGGTACTAATAGCCAAGGGCTAAATTTACCAAGAAACAATTTGGGGGTTACAAATAATCAGTTTTGGACAAACTTCCACTAGCCAACTATTGTGATTTTCATGTAACATCTTCAGAGATAACTCTATCAAGATTGAGCTATTTTTTTTACTTTCCATAATGGTTCTGTCCTACTCAACTTGTGCACACAGCTACTTTACTGAGTATCGATCTGCTATTTTCCACCGGCACAGTACCGAGCAAGCTTGAGCTTTTCGTTTAACTACAACAGGTTCTACCCCTATTTAATTATAGTGAAGAGATTGAATTATGAAGCAGCTTTCTTGAATTGTAAGGTAGTATAATATGGAATTCGATCGTCTCCAGAGGATTTTCATCTGCTAGAAAACTTCTTCTTTTTTTATTTATTTATTTGGTTTCTCATCTGGTGTTCGGTGCCCACCTTGGAGCCCGACTATATCCGGATTCGCGCCGCGTAGGGCTCCATTCGGTGGAAGCGCTCTCTACCAAGGATTTTTCCATACCCAGGGCTCGAACTCGAGACCTCTGGTTAAGGGAAGAGCGGTCTCATCTACTGCACCACATCCTTTGGTGGTAAGAAAACTTAGTATTAATGGTAAGCTTTATTTTCATTATTTCCCATTTTTTGGTTTTTTATGTACTGCACGAATGTTTTTAGATCAAGTGTAAGTTTTTTTATACATTAATGGGGTTTAAACACTATCTTACATGACGAGGCTGCTTAGTTATTATAAGAGATGAAATCTAATATGCATTGTATTGTACTCAGTGATTAGTTATATATTGAGTTTATTTTAATGGAATTATATCGATCGGGTTAATATTTTTTCTGCTTCTTCAATCTTTTTTTTTTTTGAGTTATGATAAGAAAAACTTCATTATTTTGTGATAATGAGTCTTTCATCAAAGCTTCAAGCTTTCTAAAATGATTTACGGGGTTGCATTGGCAGCTCATGTTCATAGAGTCTGAAATTTATGCAAGGGGATTCCCAAAAAAAAAATATTACTACTAATATGTCACCTTGACATTTGGATCAAAACAAAATTTTGAACCCCATGTATTTGTCACTGCACAAGAATCTTCATTAATGTACATAAGGAGATTCATCAATTTATATATAATTAAAAATAATAATTGTTGTCTATTTACCCATATAATTTTCGAACAAAGGAGATTCTATTGAACCTCTCGACTCTACATAGCTCAGCCATTCTTGTAGCTAGCTAGAAGTACTATAGGAGTTAGAGTTAAATGAATTTCGATGAGCAAATAAATCTTTTTACCTGTATATGCTTTAATTCTTTGTATATATATAAATAATTCGAGTCGAAAGTAACAAACTGAATTGAACCAATAATATTCGCCCTAAATCCAAGTCTTTCTTGCAGCTCATATTGTTATATTCATGTGAAATTGTCAGTGGTGATGCTTAGCCAAGCAGAGCAACAGATATTGAACTAACCGTCCAAACTGAGTTCATTAAATGCTAGTAACTCTCCCCATTCTTTGCAACTTTTTTCCTACCTTTGTTTACAGAAGCCCTATTTTTCTTCATTTGCCTTTCTAAGGCCAACAGGCCCCTTCAAATTGTTCAGTGGTTAATCTTCTCCTTTCTGTTTCTCACTTTACGCTCCGTATTCAGCCTTGTAACAACCGTAAAGTTATCTTTGGTGACCTATAGGTTACGGGTTTGAACTGTAAAATCAATCATTGATGCTTGCATCAGGATAACTGCATGCGTACATCATACTCCTTGGGGTGCGGCCTTCCTCGGACCCGGAATGCTTCGTGCTCCAGATTGCCTTTATTTTTACTCAATGTTCGTTATTCGCATTGGGACTCAACTGAATCCGAATTCGCATTGAAATCAGAAGTCTCACATTGGAGGATTGAGGTAAAGTGTTCCATAATAAAAGCGAATTATAACCATGGCCCGAACACAAAATCTCAGGTAATTAAGAATGAATGGGTATTTGTCACTCCACCAAAATTCTTATCGGTCCGTGGTTAATTTCCACTTCAATCATAACAATTCTGTCAGTAGCCATAAATCCTTAATGCTTAGAATGGGTTGAAAAATATTCCAATCCAGTCTCAAAACTTAAAGCAACGAATCTGTAATGTGTCATCACTGACAATTCTAGTACGCAAGTCTTGAATGACTCCCACTATAGTCGCTAATTTTGGAAGTTACACATTTCCATATGATTAAATGTCTCGTATTTTTAGGAGATTAATAATGTGAGGTTAGTTATTTTTGCACCCTTATTCCAAGAAAACTGTTACTTGCCCATCCTTTAGACGTCAAGAAAGTGATTTGCCATTCTCTTGTTATAACTATAGTTGTACTACTTGTTTTGTGATCTTGTGTAGAGAGAGGAGCTAGAGAGATGGACAAAAGGGAAAACCATAAACGCCAAATTCTCACTCAAAACAATGCTGTGAAAAAGCTGTAGCCTCGTTATTGAATAGTCGTAGTAGCATTCTTGATTTCTATCCACTACTCTAAGCTACTCTATTATTTTAACTTATGTGAGGTGCTTCGACTCGATATAAATTTAAGAGGGAAATAAAAAAATTTAAAATTTTAAATATGCCTCACATTTGTGTGGCTAAAAAAATTTATCATTAAAGTTAAACTAAAAAAATTAAATTTAATTATTTCCGAATATACGATCATTTCTCTAGAACATACTACTAAGAAATAGTATCGCAACATAACATAGGAGTAATATTTTTGGTAGAATAGTGAAATTACCGTTCCTTTATCTACTTATATATCTCACATTAGTTAGAGCAGGAGCTATTGTTTTCTTACAATTTCTTGAACAATTTTCACTTCATTAGACTAAATATTCATTCTTTACATGATATTAGAGTTACTTAGACTAAATATTCATTCGTCCGGCCTATTATTTGTTTATCCAAATCTCCATGTTATGTTGTTCATGCTCCAAGCGTTTAGTATTGTAACGTAAGGGTCCCACACGTATAAGATGTCGTCTCTTTATATAAATATATAATGATGGCTTACATATAAGTATTTTTTTTCCTAAGGAATCTGGATGGGATTTGCCTTTTGCAATGACCAAGACTAAGTTTATACTAAGAATAAAGCTACACAAATACAGGATACCAACAGTCGAAAAGCATCTCCTCTCTACTGCATCATCACGTACTTTCCTCAGCCCCACTCCTCCACAAAGTCACAAAAAGATGGAAAAAAAAAAGTAAAAATAAAAATCCAAGAGTAATTATGATGGTTTTAGGTCGGTGGACTGATTGTACTAGTAAATATTCCCAAAAAACGAAGACGAACAGTGGGTATCTGAGAAAGATTGAAGTGGGAAAAGAAGAGAAATAGCATGGGAGAAGGCCCCCATAGAGGCACAAAATTAATAAGTGCTCTGTCATTTGTGATTGTGAATATAATTACTAGTACTACCTCCTGTCTCACATATTAGTTCTGTTGACAAATTTATTGGGCGTGATGGAAGGGTTGGAGCAGTGGTAGCATTTTTAAAAGAAAATAGTTTTTCATTTATATTATTTATTAAAAAATGGATTGGATAACGAACTTTTTAAAAATGGGTTAAATACGGATAAGAACCATATTATCCACTTTAAGAAATGGATAACCAACGGATAACTAATGAGTTTAACTTTTACATTTGTAAAGTCTCAAATTGAGGGTTTCTCAAGTTTGAGAGACTAGGAATTCTTTCAAAAATAATCATATTCAAGAAGTCATGAATAATATGATGGATATCCATATTATCCGTCAATTAACCCGTTCATTATCCGTATTAAATAAGAGCGAAATCGGATAGCTTATCTGTTTTGGATTACCTGTTTTCGACCCGCCCATATTTGATCTGCCCGTTTGCCATCCTTAGTGGGAGCTATTGAGTTCGGCTTTTGGAAATGCAATTTTTTTCGTATGGGTCTACATGTATTCGAGTGAATCCGCATGGTTAAACAAAAAAAAGTTTGCGCCGAATTGTTTGACTTTTTAGAAAAAATAGAAGTCACTTATTACTTTTTTTTCTTCAGATCTACCCATAATCAATGGATTGTATTTAAGTGAGGCGTTAAAGGAGAGTTTAATAAGAAAAAATACGATTGGAGGTATGTAATAAGCTTTTTTACTTGCTTCCTTCAAACATTTTGACATGCATGTCATCTAAGTTATTGAGCCAAACCTATTATGAACACACTTAATAGTCTTATTTGTAAGGTTTATTTGACCAAATAATCTTTATTTCCTTCTGAAATGAGTAATTTATGATTATATGCCTTCTTGGAGTACAAGTAAGAGGCAATTGAAAGAAATATTTCGTCAATTTCAATTTATGTGAACTTATTTGAATTAACACAAAATTTAAGAAAAAGAAGAAAGACTTTTGAACTTGTGGCGTAAAATGAGTCACATATATTTTGTGTGATTATAAATCGGTGCATAAAGAAAAGTTGTTTCCAAATATAAAAATACAACATTCTTTTAAATAGAAACTAAAAAAAATACATTCACCTAAATTGGAACAGAAAGAATACTTAATTAATGCTTTTCGTAGGCGTTTTCTAAGCCGACAAATATTTGGACCAAACTTTTATTAAATTAAGTGACAGATAAAAAGAACCAACACACGAGCATATACACAAGCATAATTAAATAGCAGGAGAATGCATGTATATACGTTAGTGCATTGTTTATGTTCCCACATGCATTAACGTGAACATGTTATCTGTTTCCGTTGTTGCTTTCACTTTTTTTTATAGCTGACGTCCTAATTATTCCTTCTATCCAATATCTTTCTGCTTTTTCATGTCTGGTCTTCCAATACAAGCGGTACACTTGGGGGTCGTTTGGTTAGAAAGAAGTTATTTTAGGATTAGTTATTCCACCTTTTTATGGGATAAAAAAATACGACAATTTTGGGATTAATTATACAGTAAGTTTTTACCAACCAAACATGAAACAAACTCTTCTTAAATTTAGTCCCGGAATTAATTGTTCTTCATCTCTCATACCAAACGAACCCTATTCTCCCTTCATTTCTCTACGAAGGCCTCACGTTCTACGGGCCAGGTTGGGGCCGATCATTCCACTAGATGCATACGGGCCGAGTTGGGGTCGGGTTGAAGAGTTGACACTACTAGAAATTAAGCCTATGGCAACCCTTCCAGAACCGTGGCAATAGATACACTAACCATCCCTATAGAGATATCGGAACGGATTTGGAGGCGTTCCGAGATTCAGTGTTACAATAGGTCTATTGGAACGGTTATTTGTAACGATTTCAAAACCGTCTCCATTTAGGGGTATTGTAACGGTTATGGTACGGCTACCATTGTTCTATCTATGGGAACGATTGTCTTTTCTATTGGGACGGTTATAAACCGTTGTAGTATAACTATTCCAGCGATTTTTTAAGTCTATTGCAATGGTTTTGATGATATATTGCAACGGTTTTTGTGATATTGGAACAATTATTAGTACTTTACTGCGACGGGTATTGTAACATATTGCAACGTTTACTATTATTATTTGCTAAGTCTACTGGAACGGTTATATGCTCTATTGCAACAGTTCACAATTGTAATTCCTGATATTTATGGAAGCAAAATGAGAAATATTTTCCTATGCAATGATATTTTTTACCTCATAACTTATATAAACCACGAAATAAAATTAAAATATTCAACTAGCATTACTCATATAAAAAACAAAATGTGAATACATTGTTTGATCAACAATTCAAAAGTCAAAATAGATGAGTTTGCATACAAAAAGTTCTAAACTAAAATATCTTTGAACATGATTATAGAATGTTTAACAACGATCAACAACACTCAAGTAAGGTCTTCGTCACTGCTTTCTTCCGCAATCGTTGCACCTACAAAAGACAACCAGAAATAATTAAATAAATTTTTTAAAAGATAATTGAATCACAAAGTAATTGAATGACCAATTTGATAACTCCAAAATTTTCAAACGCTCTAAATTCTTAAATTTTTTGGTAGAGTTTCCTTTGTAAATACGACTATCCCAAAATTTTCAACCTGCTCAAAACATCATTTATAAATAAGACTATTCAATAATTTTCAACCTGCTTAAAACATGATACAATTTCTTTTCAGAACCTAAGATCCTTCCACATATCACATGTATATGCTAAAAATACTTATTGTGAACCTAAAATGCTTCCACAAATCTCGTTTCCTCGGCAAAAAGAATTCCATGTTGTCATAATGCACTTTCAGCCATTAATTGAGTTTGAAATAAGCTGCAATCACCCAAAATAAGAAAAATTAAACAGAAAAAGGATAGTGATAGGTTTAGTCCTTTGCCCTTCTACTCCCAATAAAATCTTTGAACAATAGTAAATCAATAAGAATCCAACAATAGTGAATTTTTTTAAGTTAATGACATGTGCCACAACCTTATCAGTGTGTACCATAAAAAGTAATGCAAATACTTGAATATTATTGATCAGCAGAAGAATGTTAGATGATCAGCAGTATATGATTCTGATATCCAGAAAATGAAAAGGAAATAACGATTCGGTTTCACTCATATCTAGCAACATGTATTCCGAAGTTGAACCTCCTTATGAAATTCAGAAGCTCTGTATACGAACAACAGTCATTGACCTGGTTCTAATCTTAATTGGTTACTTCTGACTAAGATACTTCAAAAAAACTCGAATCCAAAACTAATATAGCGAACTTCCTTACAATTAAAATTGATTTTCCAGATCTTTCTGCAAAGTAACTGAAATCATGAAAACTAAGAAAAAGGGGTCACGCAGCTAAGAGACGCTATAAATTGAGAAAGAAGTAAATGTTTACACGAGTAAATTTCCATAGTCAAGGCCTTAATAATTAACTTCACCATTTATTTCTATGCCCGGTAATATTTCACTATATTTTTTTAAATCAGACTTAAGTGTCAAACTATAAAATCTTATTTTTTTTTTGCAGCTTAGTCATATAAAGAACTTGTTAGAGAAATGCAACTGGACAACCTTTAACATCAACAAGTTGTTGACTTTTCTCACCATAAGTTCCTAAAGGCAGTATCAATATTGTTTGTTGTATTCAGACAATTAAACTAGACCAAATAGTATGAAAAATAAATCCAAACATGTATTTGAACAAATTAAAACACCACACTAAAAAAACTGATTTGAATATAGCTGGTTATAGCCCATTTCCTAATGATTTCTAACATTCACATTAATATCTTAATTATCCCAATTAGACAGACGATTGTCATCGCTTGCAAAGAAAAACAGTAGCAGCAGCTCAACATGAAGATCATAGTAGAAACCCCAAACAAAGACTAAGACTAAGACTATGTAAGGGCCTCATTCCAAGGACAACTTTCTGTCATAAGCAAGTTTTCACATAAGAGTGATTACTTATTTTTGTTCCTTTGGGTTAAAACTTTGGACTATATACTGAGATCTCACATAAAAGTTTAGCAATTAATCTCTTCAAATAAAAGGTAGTTGTGTTTCATACTATACACTGAGATTTTCTTTTCATGACAATTTAGTTCTTTACTTGTCATATACTAGATTGTTTCTAGCAAATTAAAGGACATCAATAATCTGGCATGTTAGGAAAGTAGACGTAAATAGAGTTTTTAAACTGAAGATTCAAGTAACAGGAAAGGATTGCATCATCAAGAGACGACGATACATTATTTGCCTCAAATAAGTCTGTTCCTCTCACATTATTTAGACAATGCATATTACATAGTTCTAATTTCACTCAAGTACTAATACTATCGGACTACAGTAGCATCCCTGAAGCAAACAACTAGAAAGCCATTGAAAACATTTACAGTAGCATCCCTGAAGAGAAAATAACTAGAAAGCCATTGAAAATATTTACAGTAGCATCCCTAAAGCAGAGAAAGAAGGGAAAGACACGAGCAATGGCCAAGGAGAAGGAGAAAACCAGAAAGAAGAAGAAGAGCTTTAAGAAGAAGTTCAAGAAGATGAAGAAGAACAAGTAAAAAGTCACATACCTGGAGTTTCTCAGAGTTCCAATACCTAAGGAGTTCCTTAAACTGAGAAACTAGAATATCTTTAAGGATATGTTGCATTCGAGTTTCATCATTTGGATAGGGGTCAAAGTGATCATTTTTCAATCTACTCTTGTGCTTTCTCCAGGCAGCTTGAACAGATTCCAAAATGTATTTTTTTCCAGTTTCGGGAATATCATATTTATCCTACAATTGGTGTCAAATCTGTTAGTACAGAAAATATGAATGATTTTCAACCAAAAATAATAATTAAGAAGTCCAGACCTTGGTATATTCCCATATATCCTCTTTTGTGTCTATCTTCCTCCAATCCAAAATATCAAGAGGACATAGAGTCGCATTCCTTCCCAATGTGCCGAGGAAGCTTCCAAGCTCTATCACAACACCCTCACTATGACCGACAGGTTAATTGAAGTTGTTAAGTAAAATCAATTTACGCTCATGTCGTCTATGTACACTTTTCATCTTTGTTTTACCTCTATTTTGTTTGATTAGAATAGCCTTCAACTATTCGAACCAAAGAAAACCACTAAATCACTATTGTTGATACATTTTTTATGACTGAAATAGGATGTGAATATTTTTAGATAAAGTCTATATGTTCTTACCTTGTTCTTCACATTGTTCATCTTCGATAGAAGTTGTAGAATCCAACTGAACTTGTTCCTCTACTTGTTCCTCTATTACTTGTGTTGCAGGAGTGGTTGATCTTGTTTGTGCATGGTCTGCTACTCCTGAATATTGTGGCACTAGTAGATTCTCTTCGATGATACTCAGACGCTATTTATTTGATTGTCTAGCAGGAACAACATATTTTGTAGAAGTGATTGATCTAGTTTGTACATGGGCTACTGCTCCTGGATATTGTGGCAGATTCTCTTCAATAATATTCGGCCGCTCTTCCCATCCTCGGAAGTCTACTAATACGAGCTAGGCAAGCCAATCAATTGCATAATTTACCTTTTTACCCATTTTATATTCATTAACAATTTCGAAATAATAACAGTTAAACAACAAAATTTAATATAAGCGGAAGAAAGAAACAATAAGCTATCTGAACATGAATATCCAATACAACTGTTTGAGTCTCAACTACCTAGAACTGGTGTCACAGTTTCACAAATGGTCTAAGAATACTACAAATACAGGGTCTGAAAGAAATAAATAAATACAACACTGTCTCTAGAAATGCATGAAAGAAACATAAATAGTAGATAGAAGGTGACGCCAAGGCCTGCGGACGCCTGCAGGACTACCTCGGGTTGCCTGATGATCAAGAATCAGCAATCTCACTACGTTCTAAAGTCCACAACACTAGGGTATGCACAAAAGAGTGCAGAGTATAGTATCAGCACAACCGACCCCATGTGCTGGTAAGTGTCTAGCCTAACCTCGGCAAAGTAGTGACGAGGCTAGGACCAGACTACCAAATAAACATGTGCAGTTCAAATATATACAGCGGAAAAGAAATACAGAAATAAACAAATAAAGATAGGAGGGGAAAACATGCTTTGGGGAATAACAGGTAAAATAGAATATCAAGAGAATTATAAAGGAATCAAAATCAACCACTAACAAGAATAAGGAAAACAAAGGTAGATTTCACTTTCTTTTCACATCTTGTTGTAGGCGTGCAACTCGATCCTATTTCCTGTATCTCGTGGCAGGCGTGCCACCCGATCCCATTTCATGTATCTCATGGCAGGCGTGCCACCCGCTCCCATTTTATTTATCTTGTGGCAGGCGTGCCACCCGCTCCCATTTCACTTATCTCGTGATAGGCTTACCACCCGCTCCCATTTCATTATATCTTGTGGTAGGCATACCATCCGCTCCCATTTCATTATATCTTGTGGTAAGCATACCACCCGTTCCCATTTCATTATATCTTGTGGTAGGCGTATTATCCGCTCCCAGTTACAAGCCAATAATAATCACAAGGAATCCCGGCAAGGGAACAATAATATCAAATAAATATCCCGGCAAGGGAACAATGATGATTATAACATGTGAGGCATAATAAACCACAATGGAGTCATAACAATTTATAACACAAGACTCACGGGCATGCTTGACACAGACGTATAGATATTCGTCATCATGCCTATACGTCGTACTCCACAATTAACACGTAGCAAATAGATTCCACTCATAATCCCTTGAGCTAAGGTTAGACCAAATACTTACCCCGATGCTTCGAACACAATTCATGTTTCAATTATAGCTTTACCCCTTGATTCCACCACCAATTCGCTCGAATTTAGCCACAAGTTACTTAATTACATCAATAAACGCTAAATGAATCAACCCCAATGCATGAAAATGAGTTTTCCAAAGTTTTACTCAAAAGGTCAAAAATATCCCCTGGGCCCACATGGTCAAAACCCGAGGTTCAAACCAAAACCCTATTACCCATTCCCCCACGAATCCAAATATATGATTTGTTTTGAAATCGGACCTCAAATCGAGGTCCAAATCCCCAATTTTTGAAAAACCTTGGTTCTACCTAAAACACCCAATTTCCCCCGTAAAAATTATTGATTTTGAGTTAAAATCATGTTAAAATATGTTAATGATTGAAGAAAACTAGTTAAAATTGACTTACAATTGATTTAGAGAAGAAGAAGCCTTTGAAAAATTGCCCTAGTGTGTTTATGTTTTGAGAGAATATGAAAAATGGGTTTAAAATTGTTTAAGTATAAAGTTGCAGGTCGCAGGTATGGGTTTGCTAAGCTGGGAAATGCGAGATAGAGCTCGCATTTGCGAACCCTTCATAAATGTTGGACTTTCGCATTTGCGAAAATAATGTCGCATTTGCGACTTGGGAATTGTGGCCGCAGCATCGCATTTGCGATCGCTGGCCAAATGGGAAACTTCGCATTTGCGAGGATAACCTCGCATTTGCGAGAGGGAGCTGGCCTGGGCTTGTTTTGCAATTGAGACAAGCCGTTCACATTTGCGAGATTGCATTTGCGAGCCAGGCTTCGTAAATGCAAAGCCTGCAGGCCTGTTATGCACAACTGAAAAACCTGCAATTTTCTAAGTTCAAAATGCACCTCGTGGCCTATCCAAAACTCACCCGAGCCTCGGGGCTCCAACCCAAATATACACACAACCTCAAAAATATCCTACGGACTTATTCGTATAATAAAATCACTAAAATAACATCATGAACATCGAATTAAACCTCAAGATCAATGAAATTTCTCAAAACTTTTTTAAACAACAAATTTTGCAATTAAGGTTCGAATCACGTCAAACAGATTCTGTTTCTTACCAAATTTTACAGAATTATCTTAAATCATATATAAGACCTGTACCGGGTGTCGGAACCAAAATACGGGCTCGATACCAACACGTTCTAATCAAAATTCATTTCCAAACCTTATGAACAATTTCAAAAAACAATTTTTCTTCAAAAATTCATTTCTCGGACTTGGGACCTCGGAATTCGATTCTGGGCATACGCCCAAGTTCCATATTTTCCTACAGACCCTCCAGGACCGTCCAATCACGGGTCCGGGTCCGTTTACTCAAAACATTGACCGAAGTCAAATTAATTCATTTTATAGTCAAAATTATCATTTTCACAGATTTTCACATTTAGGCTTTCCGACTACGCGCTCGGACAGTGTACGCAAATCGAGGTGATTCTAAAAGAGGTTTTTAAGGCCTCGAAACGTAGAATTTCATTTTAAAACAAGTGAAAAGGTCATCACAACTGCTTAGTTGAGAGACGGCTGGTGCTACAGGAAGCAAACCTGCCCGGGTGACACTCTCCATAAGTCCCACTAAACGAAACAGAGCATCCTGAGGAACTAGGGCAGCAATAAACCCCTCTGGGACCTGAGCGGGGCCCACCGGAACTGTTGGGGCCGGAACCTCATCATCAAAATCAACTTGAGGCTCCGTTATAGGTGTTTCTGCTCTGGGATGAGCTCCGCCCCTACCTCAGCCTCTAGCACGGCCTCGGCCTCGCCCTCTGCCCCTCGTGGGAGCTGCTTCTAGGGTCTCGGGATGCTGGTCAGTGGATGAGAAAGCGCGTGTTCTCGCCATCTGCGAAAGAACAGAGTAGAAATTTAATTAGCATTGAGAGACCAAACCGCACGATATGAAAGAATAAATGTGAAGTTTTTCCTAACTCTGTAGCCTCTGGGGGATAAATACAGACGTCTCTGTACCGATCCCTCAGACTCTACTAAGCTTGTCTGTGAACTGTGAGATCAATGTAACCTAGAGCTTTGATACCAACTTGTCACGACCCGGATTTTCCACCCTCAGGAGTCGTGATGGAGCCTACTAATACGAGCTAGGCAAGTCAATCAATTGCACAATTTACCTTTTTATCCATTTTATATTCATTAATAATTTCGAAATAATAACAGTTAAACAGCAGAATTTAACATAAGCGGAAGAAAGAAACAATAAGCTATGTGAACATGAATATCCAATACAACTGTTTGAGTCTCGACTACCCAGAACTGGTGTCACAGTTTCACAGACGGTCTAAGAATACTACAAATAAAGAGTCTGAAAGAAAGAAATAAATAAATAAATACAACAATCTCTATAAATGCATGAAAGAAATAGGAATAGTAGATAGAAGGTGACGCCAAGGCCTGCGGACGCCTACAGGACTACCTCGGGTCACCTGATGATCAAGAATCAACAATCTCGCTGCGGTCCGAAGTCCACAACACTGGGGTCTGCACAAAAGAGTGCAGAGTGTAGTATCAGCATAACCGACCCCATGTGCTGGTAAGTGTCTAACCTAACCTCGGCGAAGTAGTGATGAGGCTAGGACCAGACTACCAAATAAACCTGTGCAGTTCAAATATATACAGCAGAAAATAAATACAGAAATAAACAAATAAAGATAGGAGGGGGAAACATGCTTCGGGGAATAACAGGTAAAATAGAATATCAAGAGAATTATAAAGGAATCAAAATCAACCACTAACAAGAATAAGGAAATCAAAGGCAGATTTCACTTTCTTTTCACATCTTGTTGCAGGCGTGCAACCCGATCCCATTTCCTGTATCACGTGGAAGGCATGCCACCCGCTCCCATTTCATGTATCTCGTGGCAGGCATGCCACCCGCTCCCATTTCATTTATCTCGTGGTAGGCGTGCCACCCGCTCCCATTTCACTTATCTCGTTGTAGGCGTACCACCCGCTCC